CCGGCGCTCTAGACAGTCACCTCAACAAGACAAGTGCCCAAAGCATGCATTCTGGGAGAATAATGGAGGCCGCACTTCAAGCCCAATCCCCCCTTTTACCAAACATGTTTTTTTTATGTCCAGAAAACCATTTCACTTCTTGTTTGCACCTAAAACACAACAGCTACCGAGCAATGTCTCCGTGCTGCACACTGTTGAAAAAAATAACAGAAAAAAGCAAGCTGCTCTCAAGCCTTTGAAGGATCTTTTTTCCACGGTTTCCATAGACGCGTGTAACAATTTAGGCTTACAATGGCTGCACCCGGGTATTGGTCTGCTGAGATTCGTGGCCGGGCGAATGAAAAGACTTGCACGCATGAATCCAGGAAGCTGCTAATTAATTGACAAGAAGTTATTTCGGAATTTATGATCATCAAACAGACTTCATTCTGCGCTCCCCCTGCACCGCCATCCGTGCCAACCCACTTTCCCCGGCGACTTACTTAAGAGACGTATCTTATAAAAACAGCCCTAATCAAAATAAATGACTAAAAGCTCAGAGGGAGTTGAGGGCTACACGTCTTCATGAGAGGAACTGATGAAATTTAAATAGCCACGTTGATGGGAGGTCCAAATCACACGGAATACCCTCTTACGTAACGACAAGTTCTCTCAGCTCCTCGTGGTAGACCTACTTTCATGACAGCAGCGAACATGTGGCTTTCTTCTCTCTCCGATGCCCAAGAGGCCGGCCCAATTGAGTCGTTACACTTTACAGAAATATTTTGAATATTTGATGAGCCACACATTAGTGCCTGTTACTGTGTGCTCATGTCAAAGGGAATGCAGCAGATAAGAACAAATGCAATGTATGTGTGCGATAATTGCAATCATTTCTAGTAATTAGTGCAATTTCCTGTGTCAACATATTGAGAAAACTACAGACTACACTGCATGGAATAATTCATAATTCATATATAATAAAATAATAAAAAATAACAATTGTAAACCGCTTTGTGACTCTGGTCTGTGAAAGGCGGTATATAAATAAAGCTTACTTACTTACTTACTTACTTACTATAATTGTGTAAACCACTTACTCCTCAAATCTACTGTATTTTCACTTTATCTATACAATTAATTAATACCATTGGATTTCAATCTAAACATTTGGTGTTTAAGCAGCGTTTTAACAATCGTTCAATACTTGAGGACTGTGATAATCTAAACATAGCATGTGTCAGTAGAAAGTTAGATTTATCGTTTATGAGGAGGTTGCAGAATTCATGTCAGGGCTTTTTGCACATTTGGGTGGTAAAAAGTGACGGGAAGACAATGTTTGCGGTTCACCCAGAGTGTCCTTCCCCTCTTGACACTGTCGCTAATGCAAACTGAACTCCTCTCTGACATTTGGGGAGGCCTTTGCAGAGCTTAACTTTTGGACAGAAGGGCACGGATGGAGGTAATATCCTTTGGAGATTCTAAATGAAGACACAAACATGTTTTTCCCCTGCCATTATAAGTGGTTGTGTGTAGCTACGTAGTGCCAAATCAACATGTTTTTATCGAGCCGATCTGTGTATAGTTATATACAGTACGTATATAGCAGAGTAGCAAGAAGATAGTGACATTCAGTGGACGTTCTGAAGTAGCAGTATTGCACATGATTGCACTCTTTACTTATTTACAGATGAATGACATTTACAGGCTCAGCAGGGGGTGACAGTCATGGTCCAGCATAGATGTTAGTTTGTCCAGGACCCTCCTGTCCCCCCCCCTGCTGCACTGTGTCCAGGGAACAGCCCAGGACTGAGCTGGACTTCCTGATGTTCCAGCTTCTTCCCTCTCTGTGATGCTGCTGCTCCAGCAGACCACACCGTACAAGAGGCTGATGCCACTAATGACTAATAAGGGTAATTTGGGTAATTTATGTTATAATTTCAAAACAGAGAAAACATATTTTTTACGAATAGCTTCATACAACCACTAACAATGACAGTAAATAAATAAATAAATCTTGAAAATATGTTTGTGGAGTAAACTATCAAGTACAATTGTATATTGGAATTTCTTCCAAAAGGTTTGGGTAAAAGTAGATGCATTCCAACCACACACATTCTCAGCTCTAATAGTTCCAACCACACACATTCTCAGCTCTAATAGTTCCAACCACACACATTCTCAGCTCTCAGATAGAGCCCGGGCATAACACAATCGTATGCATCCTTTTTGAATTATGTTTTTGTGATTCTTTGTCAAAACTAATCATTTTAAGTCCTATATAATCAACACGTGTTTTCATTCACACCCCCATAAAGCTTCTCCTTGGAATACATCATTCCTATAAGGCGACTAACCCACTTTACACACACTGCACGAGTAAAGGTGTAATGAGATCCTTTTTTTCAGAGTTAGCATGCAAGCTGCAGAATTTGAATAAGCAGTTATTGGAATGATTGGAAAAGAAGTGTGTTGCAGATGAAGTCATGATCTGCTCCACACCTCTTCTCGCTGACGCAGGAGGGTCTATGGCTAGGCTGAAGATCTAAAGATGAGTTAAAGCAAATACTAGAACCTCTTTATCAATCCATACATGTATCGACTCCCGTCGTGCTGTTTGGCGCCGTGGTTCTAGTCCTTCTGAACTTCCCAGCTTTTCTAAAGGTTAAAATCATCATTACCTTAAACATTGCATGATTTTTATGTTGAGAGTGAAAAGGAGATTTTTCTTGGACTGGAAACTTTCACCAAGTCCCATCTACGTCTGGGGTTTGCTGATGGCTAAATAGTTAGTGTGATGTGATCACACAGCCAAAACAGCTAGAATTCAAACAAGTACATGAATACTATAGATTATTGAGCTCTGTGTGGCCCTAAAGTATAGTTTTTATCTTATATATATATATATATATATATATATATATATATATATATATACAGTATTTACTTGTTACATGCATGTTTTTTTGAATGAAAACAAAAAATACATAAAAATGATCTGGATCAATTGGAACATTACAGTTTTAATGATCGTCACTTGACTTGAGAGATTCCCCAAAATAGAGGTTGTCAAGGAAAAAAACAGCTGTGTTCTTGAAGTCATAAACTAAAAAAAATAAACAATAAATCCACAGGTGGTAGGGATATAGGGGATAGCATTATTTACCCTGTATACTTGTTTCTCCATATATTTTCTACTGAAGACATTATATAAACATGAAATAGTTATTATATTTAAAAGCCAAAAATATAAACATGAAATAGTTATTATATTTAAAAGCCAAAAAATGAACTGAAATATTTTTATTTTTTTACTCAAACCAAAACTACAGCCCATCCCTTGTGAAAGCGTCAGCAGGTTAAAAGCCTACAGCGGTGAGACAGAAGCGGTGTGTGTGCGTGGCTCTTTGAAGGGTAGAATAATGACAGATAATGGCGGAGGGCTGGTATGACGCTGTGACCAGGAAAAGGATCCATGTTTTGGGCCTAAGGCGGGCAGCTGCGTTCCCAGCCTCCCTCTCCGCAGCGCTCCTCAAACACGGCACAAAGACACCCTAAGTGGCTTTCCTTTTCCCCATCCCTGAACATGGCTGCCGGCGCTTTCCTCCAGCTTGCAGCAAGAAGTGCCACGGGTAGTTGAGTCACGCCGGTTATAACAAGCGAGTCTTTTGATTAATTTTAATGACACTTCCGCAACAAAATCCTCCAGTAGGAGATCTTCCTCATCTTTTATTACATCTCGGGAGTTGAGAGATTCTGTATGATAGTTAAAGATGGCTTCATAATGACTGTATTTTTATTCATTTTGCACCTTTTACAGCGTGACTCATGTCTGCTGGGGGAACTATGTTTAGTCTACAGCAGCACTAGTGTAGGCAAAGCTGCAATAAATGTCGAGTTTGTTTCAATTTGTGAAAAACAAGCCAAGGCGCGAGTCAGGGAAAAAAAGGAATTCAAAGGGTGAAGGGCTAAACAAACAAATAAGAGCAGCATAAAGCTATTATTGTATAAATGCTTCATGTAATGGTGACAGCTGACGTCGGTAATGCCTTTTTCCTGCATAAAGGTATTTCTAGGAGACGTTTAACCATGTTATACGTGCTTCCCTCTCTCATTTACCAGCTCAAACTGTATTTACGAGTAATGTGTCCATGTTTGAGTAATCTCTATAACCCTGCATTCAAAACACCACAGATTGACACCCTCTTTTTTAACGATCTTCTTAACTTCTCTGTGTGTTGATAGTTTTTTCCTTTATCTGCAATACATGAAGGCTTTGAATTGGTTTGAGATTGTGGCTATGTTGGCGCTTTGGTTTTAGGTTGATGTACGGGGCCGATGTGAAACAATATACAGAAGACAGCTACCTTGTGTTGGATCAGAATCGAGATTATTTAAGTATACATACAACAAATAATCTCATATATTTTATTTTGGCTGGGACAGTGGATGTAAACGAACATAGCATTTAATAATAATAATAATAATAATAATAATGTATTGGTTTTATATAGCGCTTTTTTGACCTTATCAATGCCTGATCCTAGTTTTTTTTTTAAGATTTAGGGTAAACTAAACAATGTTGTCAACTAATGTTGTAATACAATAATAGTTCCATAGACTTAAACATGCTGAGAGGAGGTTTTATGACTAAGATAATTCTATAGTTACTGCAGAATGGAATTAAAATGTGTTTACAAAGTATTCTTAAAACATCCCATATTCACTGATCTTTCAGGATGTAAACAACGTATTGATCGAAGAATAAATAGCCAGCTAATTGATTATGTAATGAATTTAATTACAGCCCTAGAGGGATAATAACAGTCTATAGCCTTACATAAGATGAATACTGTTTAACCAGATTATTATACAGCTGACAAATCCGTGGTTTTAGAAGGCCATAAAGGAGACAAAAGCAACAATCTGTGTTCTTTAAATCACAGAACACGTTGCTCAAGGATCAATCGTTTGGAAAAATACGTCAAAATATTCACGAAACAAGTCTTCCATGGTCTGGTCTACATTGTACTTATTGCTTCTGCAGCGCCGTCACACTCTGTGGTCACAGAGTCGACTGGTGTCTGGGCGTGTGACAGCGGTGAAGAGAAAAGAGCAGAAGGGGAGAACATGGCAGGAGCACTTCCACCTCTTACATCTAACCACAACAGAGCCGCAGAGTTGTCCCCGTTACCGCTGACACCGTTCAGCCGCTCGTCAGGGTGCGAGGCGGTGCCGCTGGATGCCAAGACACTAACTGTTTATTAAAGCAGCGAGTGGGTGCATGAGAAATGTGAACATACTGTAGTCTTGACAAGTCTTTGCAAAAACCAAAATCCTGCATTTTCTCACCCCGCCATGAAATTGAATGTTGGGATGGGAAATGAAGTGTGCCATCTAATAACAGTAAACAGAGTCAGTGAGGCTTGAGCAGAGCTGATATTGAACATTGAACAGACAGAGATTTTATGAGCGCTATTGTTTGAGTTTGACGCAGCACTTCTTTAGCTGAGGCAAACGCAGAGGTCGCTTACAGAAAGACATATGGATTCATATCACACAGGAGCGTGCAGTTTATCAAGAGCACCACTTCACCAGTGTAAGGCCACACCAGCCTTTACATAAAGTGATAATACATGCATGAATGTACACATCAAAGACGCACACTTAACTTAAAACAGTGTGATCATATCATTACGAGCTAAAAACGCTATAAATGTTGCAGTCTGGGTAAAAGCAGATTTGTGCCCATATGTTGGTATTTTTACAGAGAGCATCAGATGGATCGGCAGAAGTTCTGTACTGAAATTTAAAGAAGTAGTTAAATAATCTGGAGCCAGACTTTGGGCCCTGGGAGTGCTGTCGTGTGAGTGTGACAGAAGGGGAAGAGAACAGTGCGACGCAGAGCCGCCACATAAAGGAAAGCCTGTCTCCTAGCGGACATCAGCGCACAACCCTTCACTTGTCATCGCGTGCTGAAACTGAAGCAATGTGCCACATGAAATATTTACTCAAGTTGTCTTTGCCTAAAAGGGGAATGGGGGAAAAGCGAAGGGGAGGGAGGGGGGGAGATGGAGAATCCCCCAAATGCTCTAGATGTCAGGGCTAGGCGGAGCAGACCAGCAGGGTGTCCATAAATGTTCACAAATGCACCATTCACAGCGCTGCAGTCGATCCACCCAGGCCCCAAAATACAAGTCATTCTGACAAGTGCTCAAAATATCTCAGCTAAAGTACCAGCCATCAGCACTGATTCTCTTTGAGGAGAAGACAGCAGGCGCATACGTTGAACACAAGATCTGGGAAGGTTGTGGAATAATTGGCTAACTCTGAGCACTTTTGGTACGTATTTTATTTTAAGTTAAAAGAAAATGTAGCAGACTTTAAAATTGGAAAACCTTGGTTGTTAACATATGAAAGCCAGAACAGTAAACTCAACTCTGAAACCAGTACACAAAAAGAATATTGTGCTTTCTTAATGACAATTCACAGTAAACAGGAAGCAAATGGCAGATATAACTTTCATATACCGTAGGTGTTTGTGAGTCAATAGATAATAAGAAAAGAAAATCCTTGAACAAAGTAAGTAAAATCATTGTGTCTCTGGCCCTGTTTATACTGAGACGCTGCGCAGACGTTTCCAGGCTATTAACAGAAACGACCTGGCTCCTAATGCAAATTTCTCTGCGTTCATATGAGGTTGAAAAACGATGTAGTTCTAGCGCCCGGCCAGTAGGGGGCAGATAAACTTTACAACACTCACACGACCCCCAGCCCCGTGCCCAGCCCCGTGCCCAGCCCCGTGCCCAGCCCCGTGCCCAGCCCCCCTCCCGGCAGTATACTCACTTCCTGTGACCCTCAGAACATCATTCTGCATTTTAACAGCAGCTGTGAACATGGGAACTGAACCTAGAGCTTCGCGTGGTCTCGTTTGGACGAACGAAGGAGTAGAATTATCCTCTGTGCCGCGCTGGAAGCCCACGAAGCTAGTTAGTGCGCGGCGCCATTGTTGTTTATGTTTGTTCTCCGCTACTGCGCATGTCCAAATGTACGTGCGGGAGCAGCGCGGAGGTGGGGGTCAGAGCAGAGGGGATTTCACACCTTTCTCCCTCTCGCGGGTGTGAAAGAGCCCCCGCTGTGCAGCGTATCTGAGTTGTCCCACTCTGCAGGCTGGATCTGAACACCTACGTTTTCAACCCCTGGAACAGTCTTCGTATGAACGGTTGGTAGCAACCGACATCCAACTTTATGCCACATTGGCATAAATTGTCTCCGTGTAAACTCAGCCTCAGTAGAGCCTGTTAGAAGAGCAGAGGAAGCAATAAACAGGATTATATAGATTACTCAAACATACAATAATTTATCTAAAATAACATGAGGAAGGCCCGCTCTGTCCTGGCCTGTACCCTGGACACTCTGGAGAGCAGCTTCAGTGACAGACTAACCCCCCCTCAGGTTCTGCAGGTCTTTCTCTCCTGCTATGGTCAGACTTTAAAAATGAAGGTTGCAGCGAGATGTCTCAATGTATCCACTCACAATTTCTGACCTTTCCCATGTGCTGCTAAAACATACGGCCATCATCGTTTTAGACCAGTGTCTCCCAAAGTGGAGTCCGTACTGCAGGGGGGCCGCGAGAGGTCATTAAAAAAAAAAAGTTTTATATAATTATTTTATGTTAAATTAATAATATTTTGTTTGTAAAAATAAAATATTTGTGTTCATTATTTGACTTGAATAATCAAATTGTAATCATTTTTGTATTACATAATGGGGTGCATCATTTACAGGCTTTTCCCCCCAAATAAAATAACGAGAAGAGCCTATTTTTAACGTTGTCTTCTTGGTTTTTATTTCGGGGGTCCGCGCAGACCAGTCAGATTTTTAAGGGGTGTTACTGACTTTGGGAAAGGCTGTTTTAGACTAATATTTACCAAATTAGTCACAAACCACTGCTAATAATTGATTACTTAATTATTCTTTCCTAACTGTAATTACAGTTTTATATGCTCGCAGGCCCTGTCTACACGTAGCAGGGCATTTATAAATCCGCCCTCCGCCTAAAAAAAAACTTCTGTCCACACAGCCTCGGTTTTTTAAAAAACGGCATCCACACCTAACCGCATACATGCGTTGTCAATTACATTTCAAACCTACAAACCTACCTTCCTCCGGGAGGACGACTTCCATCTCAAAGTTCTCCCACCAGCTGGCAGTGCGTCCCGGTCTGACCCAAAATTGCCGTTGCCGTCTTTGACGAGGAACATGTCTTGGACGAGGGATGGTTATTTGGCGGAAAATAGCCGACCTTAAAGTGCTCCTTCGTCTGTGCTCTTCAACATGAAGCAGTATTTGAGCTTGTAAAAACAAGCAAGCAAAAAGTGCCTGAACAATCGTTAAAACAAAAGCGGTTTTGATGGCCTCCATGTTGTTTCTGATGTAAACACAGGTCGTGCGTGTGACGTCAGAGCAGCACGCTGGTAGTGACGTACAGCCGAATACTCCGGTTATTTATGTCCACACTCAAACGCATAACCGGAGAATTCCCAAATCTTCACTTTGGCCGGAGTTTTCAGAAACCTTCGTTTTTATCGACAGAAAACTCCGGGTTTGTGTGGATGATAGGCCAGATCGTAGGAAAATATCTTCGGTTTGTGAGATACCCTGCTACGTGTAGACGGGGCCTAAGATTTAAGCTCTTTAAGATGTGTGTTATTATCTAAACAGTCCAGCTATTTATCTGCTTATCTTTCTACAAAATCAATATATCACTGAGACAAAATGGCCGCCATGAAAAGCACATATGATTGACTGACATCAGACAACAGAGAAAACGTAAAGAAAGTGTGAGCCTTCATAAACGTCCTCAGTGACAGATGTAGAGACTCATGAAAGAGCAGACCCTGTCACAGCCACGGTCGCAATGAAATATGGTTCATACGGAGGCTGTGAAAACATACCATTAGCAGCGACACTAAAACCATTACAAGGTCACATGGTGCTCCTGCGTTATTCTCTTTCATCATGAGAGTCTCTTCACATTTGTCAAAGTTGCGCTTCTTGTGGCATCCAAGTGTACATGGAGGTGTTAGGACAATTTCATCAAGATGCAAATGGGCGAGACAGGTCTTTGCATATATTAATGGACAAATGCATGAAAAATAAAACGTAATTAATTTTTAAAACATACGGCTACAAATAAACTAGGTGACGTAATCAGAGCAGTTTAATACATTGGACATGATGATTAAGATTAAGATTAAAAGGTTGTTTATTTGTCCCACAGTGGGGAAATGTCAGTGTTGCATCATAGGTTTCAAAACAGTAGGAGTACTCACACGCATGAATATATATCAAATCAAATCAAATCTTCAACTTTAGCTTAATAAAAACATAGCATAAACATATATATTATAGTGAAAAAAATATATTCACTGTTTATGCAAGTATATACTGTATAAGTAGAAAGTTTAGGGTTCATTGGAGAATCTGACAGCAATAGCGAGGAAAGATCTGTGGAACCTCTCCTACAGTGATTGTGGATCAATCTGTCACTGAAGCTACTCTCCAGAGCTGACAGAGTGTCCTGCAGGTTCTGACCACAGAGTCATGGAAGGTTTCGTTAGTGGCCACTGCACTTTGAAAGACCTGAGCCTCCTCCGCAGGTAGAGCCGGCTCTGGCCCTTCTTGAAGAGGGCGTCTGTGAGTCCAGTCCAGTCAGCGATTTAGATGAACACCCAGGTACTTGTACGAGTCCACTCTTTCAGTGGGCCTTCCCTGGATGTTCACTGGGGCTGGAGCAACAGAGTGACGTCTGCGGAAATCCACCACAATCTCCTTGATTTTCCCCGTGTTTATGAAAGGTGGTTCCGCTGACACCAGTCCAAATGATGGGGGAGATCAACAGGAACATGTCATATGTTAATCAGGAGAGTTTCAGATCTATACTGAGGTGTACTAAGTGACTGCAGGTAACAATTTCATGGTCAAAGACAGTATTCAATACAACTAAACACTGTTGACACTAATAGTGTAGTTAAACCTCCTTATTAATCATATTCACTTGTTTACAGTCTTTTACAGAGAAATGTATAAGATGTGATATTCTTCATTTATCTCAGAAAGGAGGAGAAATGTACATGTCACATTTGGCATGGATAGAAACACTCAAGATTGTGCAAAAAAGGGTGGAAATGGTCAAACATGTTAAATGCAGGATATATTATGTACAATAAAAGTGGCAATTTACAAGTGGCAATCAGAAATGGTGTCAATAGTAGAGTGTACAGTCTGACAGCGGTGGGGATAAAGGCCCTGCGGTAGCGCTCCCTCCTGTCCCTCACCTCCCCCACAGAGTCCAGGGGCCTCCTGTCCCTCACCTCCTCCACAGAGTCCAGGGGCCTCCTGTCCCTCACCTCCTCCACAGAGTCCAGGGGCCTCCTGTCCCTCACCTCCTCCACAGAGTCCAGGGGCCTCCTGTCCCTCACCTCCTCCACAGAGTCCAGGGGCCTCCTGTCCCTCACCTCCTCCACAGAGTCCAGGGGCCTCCTGTCCCTCACCTCCTCCACAGAGTCCAGGGGCCTCCTGTCCCTCACCTCCCCCACAGAGTCCAGGGGCCTCCTGTCCCTCACCTCCCCCACAGAGTCCAGGGGCCTCCTGTCCCTCACCTCCTCCACAGAGTCCAGGGGGCAGCCCAGAGTGGAGCTAGCCCTCCTGACCAGCTTGTTCAGTCTGCTCCTATGGAATATTGCTCTAATTTCCGATATTGTGCAGCCCTGGTTTAAGGACTGTTTGTCCAATAAGGAGAGTGATGGTGCTGGGCCACATGACCTCCACATGACCTCTAGGAACACCAGACCTCCACATGACCTCCACATGACCTCCACAGTCACCGGACCTGAACCCAGTCCAGATGGTTTTGGGGCTGGACCACAGAGTGAAGGGGCCAACAAGTGCTAAGCATCATGGGAACTCCTTCCAGACTGTTGGAGACCATTTCAGGTCCTGTTGAAGCTCATCCAGAGAATGCCAAGAGTGAAGCAGTATCAGAGCAAAAGGTGCTGCTTTGAAGAACACTATGTTCAGTTGTTTCATACTTTTTTTTTTGTACGTAAATAATTCCACGAGTTCATTCATAGTTTTGATGCCTTCAGTGTCAATCTAAAATTTTCATAATCATGAAAATAAAAAACTCTTTGAATGAGAAGGTGTGTCCAAACTTTTATTCAAAATGTGTGATTTATACAATTCTGGCTGACATTAACCCACACCACTGGACCGTTGTGTAATAAGTTAGCTGTGACTAAAGCTGTTTGTAGTGCCTTCATTGGTATCAGTTCATACAAAGGGTTGAAAAATATTGAAAGCCTAAGTATCGGGAACCATATTGTAAAACGCTGGAATGGTGCTTTCTATTATAGTATGAAAAGTCAAAACCTCAAAAGCCACCGTCAAGTTTATCCAAATGTATCAAAACAGCACAAACCTTCTCCAGAGGAAAAACAGGGCTCGGCTGTGGAAGCTTCAAGATCTCCATTCGATCTTATACCACAGAGAAATACTTTTCCCAGGCAACAGCTATTGCGGCAGATTTGTTGCAGAGATAGCGCTTGTAATACGGCGACTCGTGCCAACAATAACAGTTCCAATCCGGGTGTATTTTTCAATGGTGTTTCTTTTCCCACCATGCAGACGGGTAACAGGAGTTTGCTTTATAATTTACATTCTATGATGGAGCAAGAGCCCGATAAGCCAGGCAGCCGGTGAAATCTAATCTGAAGCTCAATGTTTTTTGGGGGTTTTTTGTCTATGGAAATGGCTGGGTTCTTATCGGTCCGAGCGGGTTATTTGAGCAGATTCGGCGCTGTGGCTTAGAGAAGGGACTCAATCATTGCCGCCTGCCGATAGCCCTCACTTTGGTCCTCCTCCTCTCTCATCTTTTTATCTGGAGGAGCGGAAATGAAAGGATGCTATCTCGAGCTTCTCTACGTCCCCAGTTCAGGAGACAGAGAAGCGCGGGCAGTTTTCTTATAGGACCTAAAGATAAAAATGTGGTTTATAAACTTGTTTTTCAGAAAGTAATATGTGGGCATGAGATGGACTCCAAAATGAACAGGCTAATATGAGGATAATTGGAGAGATTTTTTTTTTAATATACTGTAGTACTCCGGCTTTGGTCATGTAATGAGAGCCTGTATTTCACGTTTCTCATTTACACATATTACAGATTTCCCTTCGTCAAACAAATGTATCTAAAAAAAAAAAAAAAACAGAAACAATGTTATTGAGAGAAAAAAGTAAATATCCTCGCAAACATTAATCATCATATCAATGTATTTGCCAGGTGGCTGCTTTTCTGGCTACAGAGCTGCTTCTTTCTGGTCTCAATGGACATGAGTTAGCTTTGCCTGGAAAATTACCAGATTATCAGTCAGATCTGTGAAAAGGCATTCTTACTCACAACAAGAACGCTAACATACATGGAAGAAGCTGCTTTGTTCACATGACACCCATTTAACTTAAGCAGTCTTCTTAATTGCTTTGTTAATTAAGAAGACTGACACTGCTCCAACCTCAGTGTCAAATGAGGGGGGGAGCATCATGCTGTGTGGCCGCTTGAACAGTGACAGGGAAGTTTGTAAAAACTTGGGGATGGCGGCAGAGAATTACCATCCATCCATCCATTTTCTTCCCCTTAATCCATTTCTGGGTCAGGGGGGGTGGCAGTCAGAGATGCTACCCAAGTCACATAGCACCAGCCCCTCACTGATCCTCCTGCAGGTGGTGAGTCCACAGGAGGACGGCTGCTCTGTAAGTGCTTTGGGCAAAGTGGGGTTAAGTGTCTTGCCCAAGGACACAATTACATCAGTGGGAGAAGGTGTCAAGGTGGGATCGAACCCACGACCTTCGGGCCTAAATGCCAGTCCTCTACCAACTGAGCTACTGTCGACCAAATTATTTTCCTGAGAATTACCTTCATCAGGAAAATGACGTAACATTGTAATGGTTTAAAACAAAAAACGTGAGTTTGAAAGTCCAAAGTCGAAGTCCAATCAAATTTAAAAACTGTGGAAAAACTGGAAAATGCTGTTCACAAAGGTTTTCTGTAGAAGCTGGCAGAGCTTGACTTGTTTAGCAAGGACAAATGGGCAAAAAGTTAAATTTGCGAAGCTTGTAGCATCATAGACCCAAAAGACTATGATTGCAGAAAAAGTATACATAGTAGTATTATATTTATGTAATTCTGTAATATACAAAACTTCAAAAT